ATGCCAATGGTAAAGTTGAAATAATGACAACGATGATGATGATAATGATAATGTTGGTAATGACCATGATGACGCAGGTGAAGGTGATGGTGGTGATGATGATGATGATGATGATGATGGTGATGGTGATGGTGATGATGAGTATGATGTTGAAGGTGATGGTGACGGTGGTGGTGACGATGCTGATGGTGATGTTGACGCTGATGATGTTGATGACGAGGATGATGATGGTGATGTTGACGGTATTAGGTGTGATGGCGATGATGACGATGTTGATGATGATGTTGATGATGATGACGATGTTGGTGACGATGATGGCAGTGTTGATGGTGGTGATGATGATGGTGATGATGGCATGGTACGGTTTAATAGGCATGATGGCGATGATGATGTTGATCGTGCTCATGGTGATACTGATGATGATCAGGAGGACGAATGGGAGAAGGAGCAGGATAGGGATGGAGTGGGCGAGGAGGACTAGGAGGATTGGGGCGGGTGGGCAGCAGGGTGTGAAGGAGGACCAGCAGGTGCGAAGCCCACCTGCCCGTCCAGTCAGGGTCTGCCCGCCCGCCCGCGAGCCCGTTTGGTCCCGCATGCACGTTTGCTCGAAATCCCACTCCTCCGCTCGAGTGCCCCGCCCGCCCAACCCGCCCAACCGCGCCCCTTACGAGCAGCAGAATGTGGAGAAGTATGGTGAGTGTCGAATACGCCTGCCTGCCCGCCCGTTGGGGTCCGCCGGCCCGCCTGTCGGTTAGGGCCGGTTTGTCCGATTTGCTTATTAGGCTTCGCCTGCTTGCCCGCTCGTTTGAGTCCGCCTGCCCGCCGCCCAGTGTCTGTCCGCCCGCTACGGAGGAACCAGCGGAGGAAGGAGCAGTACGAAAAGGAGGGGAAGGGTAGGGCGAGGTGGAAGACTGTGAGGGGGAAAGTGACTGTCATGATGATTTTAGGGGCCATGACGTTGGATGTGATGATGTAGATGATGTTGCGATTGCGGAAACGACGATAATCATAATGATGATGGTGATGACGGGGACGACGGCGATGTTGTGGTTGATGATGACGATGCTGAAGAAGAGGATGGGGCTCTTGATTAAGACGAATATGATGATAGTGAAGATGATGTTTATGTTGGTGATGGTAGTGACGATGGCGAGGGTAGTGATGGTGATAATGACGACGGTCAGACTGAAGAACATATTGTTGGTGACGACTGCGGCAAAAACGATGACGATGATTATGATGATGATGAGGAGGAGGAGGCGGAGGAGGAGGATCAGGATGTTCATGATGATGTTGATGGTGATGGTGATAGCCATCATGGTGATGCTGATGATGATGATGATGATGATGATGATGGTGATGGTACTGATGATGGTGATCATAATGACGATGACGATGGTGATCACGCTGACGAAGATGACGATTACGACGATGATGAGGAGGAGGAGGATTAGGATGAGGATGATAATGAGGATGAGGTTGAGTGGAAGGAGGAGGTGATTGAGGCTGATGCTGTTGATGATGCCGACCATGATGATGGTGGTGGTGATGACGATGCCGATGATGATGATGGTGATGATACTGGTGATGATAATGAGGATACTGATGACGATGTTGATACTGATGCTGATGATGATGACGATGATGATGGTGATGATCATGATGCTGGTTATGATGAATATGATGATAATGATGGTGATGATGATGGTGTTGTGATGATGATGATGATGATCATGATGACCATGATGATGATAATGATGATAACGATGATGATGATGCTGATGATGATGATGATGATGATGATGATGATGATGATGATGGTGACTAAGGTGATGATGTTGAGCAGGAAGACGACGGTGAGAAGGAGCAGGAAGAGAATGGAGCGGGCAATGAGGAGTGGACTTGGGGAGAGGGAGAGTAGCAGGATGTGGAGGAGGATGGGTGGTTTCAAAGCCAGCCTGTCCGCCCGCACGTGAGGGCCCGCCCGCCCGCAGAGCAGCTCGGGCCCAACCGCGCGTCTGCCTGCAGTCCCGCCCGCCCCCTCTGAGCACCCGACCGCCCGACCCGCCCGGTGGGCCTCGCCCGCCCGCCTGTTGGGGCGAGCCTGACCGCCCGCTCTGCTGTCTGGCCCGCCCGACCGACCCGCGAGGGTCCGCCCGCCCGCCCGCCCGTGGCGGTCCGCCCGCCCGACGGGCAGTTTCCCGGCCGCGCGCAGCCGCTTCAAATGCCCGCCCGACCCGCCCATTGGGGTCCCTCCCGCCCGCCCATTGGGAGGCCCGCGCGCCCGATCCGACCGCCCGCCCCTTATAGGGCCCGCCCGCCCGCCCGCTCGGGCCACCTGCGCGTGTGATGGGATGCCGGACCGCCCGCATCAGTGCTCACCTGGGCGTCGCGTCATGGGGGAGGCGATGAATGGGGGGACAGCGCCGGCTGCCGAACAGGGGCCCTTCAGGGCCCCCCAAGGGCCCCGCTGGGGCCCCAAAGGGGGCTTTCAAGGCCGGAGAAGTGCACCGTTCTTTCCCCCCCCGTTTACACGCTGGTCGATGAAAGTGCATAGGTATTCATGGATATCCAAATCCCAGTCTACTTCAAGCGCCTTCCTACTTCAAGCATCGACATGATTTTGGTGCGTCGTGTTATTCTCTTGGAGGCCCTGAGCCCACTCTACTCTATCCGCCTTCCTACTCCATGTTTTTTTACCTACTTCGCCCGACCGACGTGTATCGCCTCCCCATGAAGCGACGCCCTGTTCACGCCCGTCCGACTTGCGCGTGAGGGTCCGCCCCCCAGCCCGTTTCGGTCCGTCCGCCCGACCCGCCCGCCCTTTGTTGGGGCCTACGTTCCTGACCGGCCCGCGGGGGTCCGCCCGCCCACCCGCTCTTTGGGGCGTGCGCGCCCGCCCGCCGGCTGCAGTCCAGACGCTGAAATAAGGACCGTTCGGGGCTCACGAGGGGCTCAGATTTTCGGGCCGTAGATTGTCAGCAGGGGAAAAAGAACACACGCACACACACACACACAGGCACAACGAAGCGTCGACTCCCAGGAGAATAGGGGAAAATATGGGAAGTGGGGGGGGGAGTCGAAAACTTAGAAAATGTAGGAAAATATTGGAAATCCTGGGATTTGTGTCTGTTGATTTGTGTGTCCCTCGGCCCCAACAGATTGGAGAGGCCTTACGGCCGGTGCCGCCGACCTTGAACGACGACGACGACGACGACGACGACGACGACGACGACGACGACGACGACGATGCGGACGTGGGTCAGAGTCTTCTGGAATGCTGGCCGTTCTTGGCTCAGGAGGGGCTCGGATTTTCGGGCCGCTGCTCAGACTCTTGCCCTGGGGCCTGTTCTGTGGCCTGAGCCAACCTCCGTGACCAGAAAAGTCCCCTTGGCAGCCTTATGGCAGCGCGGTGGCAACAGCGTCCGCCCGCTCGCTTGCTTCAAAAAGGAGGGCGGTGCGGAGAAGAGGTGGAGGACGGGGCGGGAAGGGAGCACGAGGACGAGAGAGGAGGGCAGGGCGAGAGTGAAGATTGGGAGGGGGTATGATGATGGTAGTTGTGGGATGATGATGGCAGTGAGGATGATGGATGGGCTGGCGCATGCTGAAGACTGGGAGGGGGCATGGTGATGGTGGGGACAATGAGTATGAAGCCTGTGGCGTTGCTGCAGGATGTGATGACGGTTACGGTGATCATGCGGGTTATGATGAGGAGGAGAGGGATAATGATGTTTGCGATGGTGACGATGATGGTGTTGATGATGATTGTGATGATGCCAATGGTTATGCTGCTGATGATACGATGATGATGATGATCATGATGATGATGATGATGATGATGATGATGATGGTGATGATGATGATGATGATGATGTTAATGATGATCACGAAGGTGATGATGTTGATGATGAGAGTGGTGATTGCGATAATGGTGATGATGACGACCACGACGACGATGACGATGAGTGTGATGATGATGACCTTGATGACGATGACGATGATGCTTATGATGATGACGATGATGATGGTGGTGATGGTGATAACCATGATGACCGTGGTGATTACGGTGATGATGGTGATGGTGATGGTGATCATGATGATGATGGTGATGATGATGGTGCTGGTGGTGGTGGGGATGGTGATGCTGATGTTGATGCTGATGATGTTAATGATGATGGTGATGACCATGATGGTGTTGATAAAGATGCTGATGTTGGTGATTACGACGACGATACTGATGATGGTGATGATGCGAATGATGGTGATGATAATGATGATGATGCTTCTGATGATGATAACAAGTGTGATGATGATGATAATGCTGATGATGATGATGATGATGATGATGATGATGATGCTGATGCTGATGCTGATGTTGATGCTCCAGCCCCTGCTGATGGTGATGCCGAGTGTGTGGGCTCATCGTGATTATGTCGATGCGGACGAACATGCTCACTGTGATGATGCTGATGCTGATGTTGAGCATGAGGAGCATGAGGAGGAGGAGAAGGAGGAGCGGGAGGAACGGGAGGAGCAGGGTGAACCCCCAAAGGGTCTTGCCTGCATCCTTGTACGTGGCTGGTGACCTACTGATGTGCGGCGACGGTGCTCCTGTTCCTGCGTGCTCCCCCGCTGTTGCTCCTCCTCCCCCTTCTCACAGTGTTCCGACAAGAGCCCTCCGCCCGCCCGAGTTGGGGTCCGCCCGACCCTCCCCGACCCTCCGCTCGTTTCAAAATCCGCCCTGACCCCTCCTCCTTGCCGTTTCCACCCGACGAGCTCTTTCTTTCTCCTTCTCTCCGGTTGCCTGGTCCTTCATTGTATTTTCTCAGGCCGGATTATTCGCATCACCTCTCGCCAAAAGGCTTCGCTCCAAAGTGTGTCTCTTCCATCCCTCCCAGAAAACGGCAACATTGGGATCGACGTGACACACATCCCTCCTCTTCCTCCTCTTCCTTCTTCTGCTTCACATTCCTAATGCTCTCCTGCTGCCGCAGTCGACCCGTTCTTCCCATCTCCCATGTCCGCCCTTGGTTCACGCATGTACGCATGTGATTGAAGGTCGGGGTCTCCTTGCTGCATCAGGTTTGCAGCCACCGAGCGGCACTACAGAACACCTCCATCTGAACTTGTCACCATACATAAGTTCCACAATTAGTGTTGCAGATGGCACGTCGCCTTCTGATCGCCAGCCTCGTCGGGGCCAGCGGTGCGTCCGGCTTGACCTCTGCTAGCGACCTTGAGTTGGTGCAGATTTCCAGGACGACTCTGAAAACATCGAGGGATGAGTTGGGAAGGGATTTCTTCACGCATGCTGGCGTGCCTATATACCCCCGTATGGTCGATGACGAACGTGAGGCCAAAGCTGAAAAGGTGTGGATGTTCATGCTGAAGAAGGATGCAACTGACGCGGAGCTGGAAGCTCTTCTACAGGAACTCCATCCGACGTCGATGAAGACCAATCCAGGCAAGGGCGAGTTGCCGTTTGTGGAGGGGCGCTTGACGGATGACGAGCTCGCTACTTTGCTAGAGAATCATCCCGGGCTCGTGACGAATGTCGAGCAGGACGAGCTTGAGCCACGGATCACAGAGCACATCGACAAAGAAGAGCATTTGGAGAGGCGGACCTACCCGTGGGGCATCCAAGACATCAATGCGGACGTGGTTAGGGGACGGGGCGCAGGGGTGCACGTGTATGTGTTGGACACAGGCATTCGTACCACCCACGTCTCGTTCGGCGGCCGGGCCTTTGCTGGAGTGGACGTGGCCGCCACGGGGACCCTAACGGTGTGCACGCCGAGCAGCACGACCTGCGCTGCAGACAACCACTTTCACGGCACCCACTGCGCGGGCACGGTGGGGGCTTCGACGTATGGCGTCGCGGATGGCGCGACCCTCTGGGCAATGAAGGTTCTCGATGACACCGGCTACGGCTACACCTCTTGGTCCATTGCAGCCGAGCAGTGGGTCTTGTCGTCAGGCTCAAGGCCAGCTGTGGTCAGCATGAGTCTCGGGGGCGCTGGCAATTTCGTATCGGAGGCGACCTCTAGCTCCAGGGGGGTGATGTATTGCCCGCGCAGGGCGAGCATTGCGTTGCACCGCCCTCCCAAGAGGATGGTGCTGTATTGCGTCGCTCTCCCGAGGGGGGGCAGTACTGGATAGTGTTGCCTTCCCGACACGGGAGCACGGGAACCACCCAGCGGCCCTGCCATGGTCACCCACAGGACTCGGAGGTAACCACCCACGGGGCCTGAAGGCGACCACCTAAGAGGTTGGCGGTAATCCCCCAGAGATGTTGATGTTGATGGTACGCTGGTGGAGGTAACCACCCAGAGGCTGGAGGTACCCTCCTGTGGTGGGGTGTGGAGCGCGGTGGGGGGGTGCAAAGCCCAGCGGTGAGGGTGTAGGGGTGCCGTGTTGCTTGGGGACCGGGCGTGGTGTCGTGTTGCCTGCAGACAGGGCGTCGGTGAGGGTGGGGGCGGGGCATAGGGCCCAGAGCCCCGGGTGCGGCGTGGAAAGGTCTCGGGAGCGGGGCCTCGAATGCGGCACGTCAGCGGCATGCAAGTGGCAAGTAAGCGCCATGTAAGCGGCAGGTACGCGGCAGGTGAGCGGCAGGTGAGCGGCATGTAGGCGGCAGGTAGGCGGTAGGCAAGCGGCAGGCAAGCGTCATATAGGTGGCAGGTAGCGGTAGCCATGGAGGGCCCAAATGGGAGCCCGATTTGCAATGGCGGTTCAACCGAACCAGTGACTTGCAGAGGCGGTTCAACCAAACCGGCCAAGAACGTTGGCGCGAGTCGCGGTCCTGAGTCGGCGGAGCCCGTAGGTGAGGGCGCCGATGGTCGCGCCTACGCTTTCCTTCGTCGGTGGACGCGACCCAGCGCCTTGGCGTGGCTCGCCAATCTCGACGTCGGGTCCTCGTTCGCCGGGCGACGACATCTTGGGTGGAGAGGGGCGGCCCTGGGAGGCCATGTGAGGTTCAGGGGAGGGCGTGTGGGGTGCATGGTGTCGGGTCTCGGGTGCGCCCAGGAGGCCTCGTCGGTAAAAGTGAAGCGGGTTGGGCGTAGGGCCCAGCGGCCCAGGCGTCGGTGGGGGTGTAGGGTGCAGGGTGTGTGGTGTGGAGCCCGAGGCCTGAGGTAGGGACGCGGTAGGTAGGCGTAGGCAAGCGGCAGGTGCGCCGCAGGTACGTGGCAGGGAAGGGGCAGGTGCGTGGCAGGTAAGGGGCAGGTAGGCGGCAGGTGCTCGGCGGGTGAGGGGCGGGTGGGCGGCAGGTAAGCGGCAAGCAAGCTGCAGGTAAGCGACAGGTAAGCAGCCGTCACGCGGCAGATAGGCGGCAGGTAGCGGTGGCCCTGGAAAGCCTCAAGAGGGCCCGACTTGCGTAGAACTTTGGAGGTGGTTTGCGCTGCCAGGGGACGCCCACAAGGAGGCGCGGGGGTCAGAGTGTACAGCCCTGGGCCTGCGCTGCGGGGGGGGGGGCCTTTGTGCGCATCAGGGCGATGGTGAGGGTGGGGTGTAGGGCTGGGCGTCTGTGGGTGTGTCCAGACGCCGCTGAGTGGTTCGCCTGTCGGGGCAGAGCAATGCAATACACTACTCGCTCGTCTGGGGCATAATACAGTTCCCCCCTGGGCCGTCGACATGTTGGTGGACGATGGCATTACCGTGGTGGTGGCTGCAGGGAACCAAAACGATGACGCGTGCGGCTACAACCCTGCATACGTGCCGTCGGCGATCACGGTGGCATCTTACGCTAGTGGCGGGGCCAAGTCTAGTTTCAGCAACTACGGCTCTTGCGTTGACGTCTGGGCTCCGGGCTCGGACATTCTCTCGACGCACTTCACCAGTGACGTTGCCCTGGCTTACGCTTCGGGTACGTCCATGGCCTGTCCGCACGTTTCCGGGCTTGCTGCCATCATGTACGAGGCGCATCCAACGGCGGGGAGCATGACCGCCGCACAGAGGTGGGCTCTCTTGACGGCCGTGAACCGCACTGACTATGTCACAGGTTGGGATGGGAAGGAGGAGGAGCAGCAGCAGGGAAAAGAAGTGCTGGCAGCAGAGAGCGGGTCCATGAGTAAAGGGTCCTGGACCCCAGGTTTCCTCAGGACCAGCTGTTCATACTGAATTGTTTGTTGACGGTCATGGGGGCTGAGGAACGCCCCAGGAGCCCGAGACCAACGTCAGACTTCCAGGACCCCCTTCCATCCAGGACTCACTATCTTCATGGCGATCCCTCGGGTCGGGGGGCTAAAAGTCGACCCTTGGACCTGTCTCCTGGGTAGGCGTTCGAGGCGGATCCAGCGGTGATTGTGAGAAGGCGCAGACAATACCCAAAAGCGCCCAAAAATCTAGACCCTCGAAGTCTGAAGCGCAAGGGTCCTCATCAAAAATCGTGAACCTCGATCCTCCTCAGACGTCCGCTGGTCTGATGCTCGCCTTCCGGACCCCGGAGTTCCCCTTCCTTTGGGGGTGGTTTCTCGTGCCAGCCCGGTTTCTCGTGGAGCTCCCCATCTCTTATTGTCCCGGTGCCCGAGCACAGGCAACACTGGCCGAGTTCGATCGACTACACGTAGGAGTGACCTCTCGCCGGAGTGACCTCTTGGTGCGGGCCCCAAGGGGCCCCCCGGTCGCCGAATGCGAGGCGATAGCAGCGGCTTGCGCGCCTGGCGGTGTCCCCAGAGAGCCCCCCTGTGGGCGCGCACGAAAGGTCATTCTTGCCTAGGGTCACTCTGGCGTGTCGCCGACTCGAGGAGGAATGCCTGGATCTTAGCGGGCCCTGGAAACGACAGGGCCGTTTTTGTTACCGGTTCCGTTCTGCCGTTTTTTGCCGGTTCCGACGCCGTTTTTGTTACCCGTTCCGTCGCCGTTTTTTGACCGGTTCCGGCTCCGGCTCCAATCCTGGAGCCGTTTTTGTTGCCGTTCCCGGTCGCCGTTTTTTTGCCGCTTCCCTTTTCAAGGAACATTCTTTTTGGGGAAACGGTGAAAAAACGGCCCTGCCGCTTCCGGGGCCCACAAAGGGCCTGAAGTCGCAGGTGACTTTTCTCCCCCAATCCCCGAGCTTCGCCAGAAAAGTTTGGCCGCTCAGAACAACAGGGAAACCCTGGGATACACCCCAAGGGGGCTATTCGGACGCTATTCGGGCCCACAAAGGCCTGGATGGAGCCAATCCGATCGTCGAAGATCTGTGGGGGGGGAGCCGGTGGCCTCCTGCTGCTCGTCCGCGGGGGAGCGAGGAGCAGCAGGAGGGGGCAGAGGAAGAGGGAGGAGGAGGAGGAGGAGGAGGAAGGAGGAGGAGGACAAGGAGGAGGAGGAGGGGGAGAAGGAGGAGGGGGAGGAGGAGGAGGAGGAGGAGGAGGAGGAGGAGGAGGAGGAGGAGGAGGAGGAGGAGACCACCCAGGGAGCTTGAGGTAACCACCAAGCGGCGTGGAGGTGACCACACTGGAGGTAGCCGCGCATAGGGCCTGTGGTGACCACTCATGGGGCCTGGAGGTAACCAGCCAGGATGGAAGTAACCACTCGGGGGTCCAGGGGGCCTCGACATACCTGCCCAGAAGGGCCGCCTGGATGTGACCCTCCAAGGGCCTTGAGGCAGCCACCCAGGGGGTTGTAGATAATCCCCGACGGGCCTGGGGGCACCCAGGGGGCCAGGATTAGCCACCCAGGGGCTTGGAGGAAGCCGCGTAGGGGGCCTGGAGGAAGAAGGGGAAGAGGAAGAGGAAGAGGACGAGGAGCAGCAACGTCAGCTGGCTCGTTGACGCTGAGGTCTCTCCACCTCCCCGCCCCTTCCCTCTCTCAAGGCATTCCCACGACCCCTGCCACTGTTAATCTGGTGGCCTTGGCGCCGACACCGACGCCCAGCCCGACGCCTAGCCCGATGGCAAGCCCGACGCCGAACCCGACGACGAGCCCGACGCCCAGCCCGACGCCGAATCCGACGCCGAGCCCGACGCCCAGCCCGACGCCGAGCCCGACGCCCAGCCCGACGCCGAGCCCGACGCCCAGCCCGACGCCCAGCCCGACGCCGAGCCCGACGCCGAACCCGACGCCCAGCCCGACGCCGAGCCCGACGCCCAGCCCAACGCCAAGCCCGACGCCCCACCCAGCGGGACCAGGGCCTGTGCAGGCGACTGGCGACCCGCACCTGGTCAACGTGCATGGACAGCGCTTCGACATCTACCGACCCGGCGTCCACGTCCTCCTCCACATCCCGCGGGGCGCGGCGCCGAGCGCCACGAGGCTGCACCTTGCGGCGGACGCCAAGCAGTTGGGCGCCGCGTGCGAGGAGCTATACTTCCGGGCAGTGAACGTGACGGGCGAGTGGGTGGAGCAGGCCCGCAGCTCGGCGACCGATCTCGACGAGTTCGCGCCGGGAGCTCGCGGCGGGCCCGCTCCCGGCCTCGAGTTCTTCGCGGAGGCGGCGGGCACGCGGAGCAGCACGCCGTGGATGCAGTTCGGCAGGGTGGGCCTCAAGGTGGTGTGGGGCCACACGGCTGGGGGCATCAAGTATCTCAACGTTCTTCTCAAGCACGTGAGCCAGGCGGTTGGTGGTCCCCAAACGTGGTGGTGAGAACACCCGGTGGTGAGTTTTGGGCGATTTGGGTAATGGTTTTCGAGCGCTGGCTGGCCCAGGAAACGCAACACCTCGTGGCGACCGCGTGTCCCCAAACCCGGTGGTGACCCAGAATTAGTTCTTGGGGGAATCGGGGTCACCACCGGGTGTCTCACCACCTGGTTTGGAGACCACCAAGGCTGGCTTTACGGTCGGTGGGCTCCTCGGCGAGGACGACCATACTTTCGTGTCCAGCCGGAACTCTGCGTGCAGGCACGTCGTCGCCCTGCACCCCGACGGGCCTGCCGATCTGTCGCGAATCGTGGACTAGCCCGACTGCGCAGGGCAGCGAACTGCGATCGGGTTCGCCAGCGCTCAATTAGAAAGTGGCAGGGTCAGAGGGTCCTCGCTCTTCAGACGGTATGGCGCTCTTTAGACACGTCTCGGTGGAAACCCAGCAAAATACACAACGGCGGTGGGTCCGCGCGGCGGAAGAGGTGTAGCATCCCGCAGTTGCGGATAAGAGTGAGGGGGCGGCGGGGTCGTCGGCAGTCTGCGAGGCTCAAAAGAAGCCCAGCGTAGGCGCTGATTGTTTCACACATTATAAAAACGAGCCCGCCGCAGGTGCCCAATTTTTCGTCAAAGCAAGTGGGTAGGGCGCGGGAGGATCGCTGGTGTTTCGCGGGTGGGTCGTGGGTGGGTCGCGGGGTGGGTCGCGGGTGGGTCGCGGGTTGCGGGTGGGTTGCGGGTAGGTCACGGGCGGGTCGCAGGCCAGGTCGCAGTTGGGACGACGACAACAAAAAACAAGCAACTAATAACGCAGCAACAACAATAGCAAGCATGTGAAGATCGTTCGTTCTTATTTGCACGCGTGCCACAACACGTATATCCCAAACTCTTGATATCCGCCCGTTTGGTTTCCGGCCGTACCCACTTGGGGGTATATCTGTCTTACCTGTTTCGGGAATTTCGTGCAGCCCCTAAGGCAGGGGAAGAGGACGGATGGAAGGAAGGGACAAGGGGGAGGGAGGAGGATGGAGCACGAGAGAGAGTAGCAGGAGGGGGGATCGAAGCAGAAAACACGTGGCAAAACCAGACGGGCAGATCGGGCGAGTAAACCCGAACGGGCGGGTCGGGAAGGCGGGCTCAAGCGGCCAGGTCGAGCAGGCGGGTTGTTGAAGCGTGCGTCCTGCATGAATTCTGAGGAAGTCTCAAGCGATAACGCGATTATCAAACAAATCGAAAGGCAGTGCGCGATTCCTGAGTGTCGAGGGCGCGGCGTTGGAATAAATCGTCAAGAAGTTCCACGCGAGAGCGCGGGTCCTGTATAGATTGTGAGGAACTCCCGCGCGAAAGCGCCTTTTTGGAGTACATTGTGAGGAAATGTCAGGCGGCAGCCGTTGTGTTTGTAGTTCAGGGGCCAACAACGCAGTTCGATGACCATTTGCCCTTGCGCAAACCAGTGTGCGAGTCCAGTGAGAAGCACTTGAATTGAGAAAGACAATGGTGACCAGGGAGGGGGATCAATCATAACTATTGCTTAGAAATGGAAGCCAGCAGTAATAGCAATAACAACCGCAACAACAGCAACAATTACTTGGCAGTGATGATGCGACGACGACGACGCGTGATGACGATGTTGCGTTGCGATGTAATGTCAGTTTTGTCCCCGAGTTCGGTTGCCATCGATCAATCCCACTAGCGGCCTCTCGGCCAGACTTAGTACCAATGATTTCAGCGATCGATCCCATTGTGTTCGTCCCAGGGGAAATCACTTGCCCCCGCGAGATCTGCACGACTCAGGGGGCGTCTGCGCATCTGACAGCGCGAGCACAACCATCACAATCGATTTCAGTGTCGATCTCACTTTTGATGTCACTATCCATCCCGCTCTAGCGATCTCATTATCGCTCTCACGATCGGTTGCGCTATCGATACCAAGGCGGAACACCCCCTGCCACCGCCGGCCCACCGCCGACGGAACACCGACGGGACACCAAAAGGACACTCACGGGACACTACAGGACACCACGGCTGGAAACCCCGCGCGCCCACCGAAAGCGCAGGGGCGGTCCACTGCATCCGACTCGCCCTAGCGACGGCGGGGTCCTTTTTCTCGCGCGCCCACGTAGCTTCGCTTCGCCCGCACGCACGACACGAACACGAAACCGAAACCGATTTCCCGGTGGGGGGTTCTCCGTTCCACGACGATCTCACCCCCCCCAACCTCTGACTTGACGCGTGTAGTTGGCGCAGCCGCTGAAGTAGGGGAAGGAGGGGAGGAGTGAAGAGACAAGGGGGAGGGAGCAGGATGGAGCAAGATTGAAATTTGCAAGAGGAGGGCCAGGAGCAGCAGCATAAGCATCAAAACCATCCCTGCGTGTCGGGCGGGCGGACCCCAACGGGCAGGTCGGGCGGGCGGGCCCGGATGGCCAGGTCGAGCAGGCGGGTCGCCAAAGCGTCAACCCATCATGGAAGAAGGTTCGGACGATAATGCGATCATCAGGAAATCCCGAGCGAGAGCATGACTTGTGAGTCTTGGTGGCACGGCGCCGCAATATATTGCAAGAAGGTACCACGCGAGAGCGCGATTCCTGGATAACTTGCAAGGAAGACCCGTGCAAGAGCGCGAATTTGAAGAACACTGAAGGGAGTGTCAGGCGGGAGCCGTTGCTGCTGTTGTTGTTGCTGTTGCTGTTGCTGTTGCTGTTGCTGTTGCTGTTGCTGTTGTTGTAAACCGGGGGCCAGGGGCGCAGTTTGGTGACCACAGATTTTCCTCGATAAAGAACAGGGTGCGAGTCCCGGGAAGAGCATTTTCAGCACAGAAATATAATGGGCACCGGGAGTGGGGATCAACAACAGTTAGGTCTTAGAAATGAGATTTCAACATCAACAACAGCAATTTGCACCGCGGAGTCCCACTTCAGCCACGCGCCCAGGGATAGTGAATGACCTTTCGGCCTCCTCACTCTGATGATTAGGTCATCAACATTTTTGGATACAGGGGGTCCGGAGTCGATCGTGTGGGGGCGCATGGTGTTTGATGGTCGGGTCTCGTGCAAGAGGCACGGCGCACGCCGTCTTGGAAGGCCACCCCTCTCACCCTGGCCCAGCCTGTCTCGTCACCAAGTGGTGAAAAGCGCAGGGGAGTGGTGCTCGCCGGCTTATCAACTTATAGATCTGGCTGTGAAGCGGGGGGAGCGGCGGAGGAGGGCGGGCAGCAGAAGTAGGATAGGTAGCATAGCCGAGACATCCAGTCTAGCGCATGGCTTGCTCTTTGTGGGCAGGTACGCGCTCTGCCAGTCTAGGACGCCGTCCTTGTTTGCTGATTTGTAGTGCGCTTGCGTGGGGAAACCAGTCCGCCGTCCCGGAAGTCTTGCTATGCACTCGGCCCTGCAAGCACACTCGAGGCACGGACAGAAAGCGACACAGATGTGTGCATATATTAGTATTAGACGCTTTTAACCGAGAGAGTAGACCTCAAATGCGATTGTTGTGGTGTTCGCGATTTTGTTTTGCTGTTTCGCACGGGAGATCCTCATGCTTCTGGAATTCGGCGCACCCCTCACGCAGACGGTGACGTCAGCGTCAAAGAACACAAGGGAATAGCAACACATGAACATAACATGTTCAAATGCACAATGACCAAGTTCAGTGACGATGTACGAACGTATTAGAAACGCAGTCTTTGTTCAATGCTTTCCTGTGCAGCTCTTCTACATGGTCTAAGAAAACAGCCTGAACAGTGAATTCAGCGAAGCACGTTTTGTCCACTCCGATTCCCACCGCAGTTCTCCAACGTTGCTCTAGCCTTCGGCTTCGTCGTGCCCACAAGGGCGCTTCACAGCATTTCGTATAATCGTAAGTTGTGGCAGGTCCATCGGTTGCATTCCATTGCTTTGTGAAGGAGCCTCGGCACGCACGTGCCAAATTTATATATATATATATATGTATCATGTGTATACACACATATATATATATATATACACACATACGTATACAGACGGACAGATAAACAACAAGAGATGTGTGTATATATATATGTTGATGGGGGGATCGGTGAATCGATATAATTTCTCATCGGACGGCCTTGAGCCAAGACGCTTGCGGTCGCAACCCAATCACAACAGTCCTCATATCTGCACTATGCACCGCCAGTCCCGTAGGCCCATAGATATGTAAGCCTTTAACTCACATTACACATTACATCTGTTCTATCTAGTTTTCGCTCTTAGCCAAGCACGATTGCATGACATCACGTGGCACCGCACAAGTGGTTAGGTGCTATACATCATCCCACCCGCACAGGGGAGCACATGTATTTTGCTCGACTCCGCACGCACAGTACCAGTTGACGGAGCCTTATACAAAGAAAGGCTTAGCGCCACCAGGATGACTCAGCCCTCAGGCGCTCAATCAACTCAACCTTCGAGCCGCTCGTGCTCAACTCTACTCTTGAGCACGCCACACGGATCGCATTGACCGCCAGAGCGGTTTTGATTTCCTGAGTTCTGCGCGCACCGTCGCTCGCCGACAGCGCGTTTCCCCGCGGGCCCCTCGACGCGCGGCTCGTTTCATGGCGCGCGGCGCCAGCGGCCTCATTACCGCGGAGCACACAAGCACGCGTTTGTCTGTATAAGTTTTGCGTCGTACCACGCAGCGCGAGGCACGCAAGCACGCGCGCGCATTTCAACTGCAAAGCTTCGATGTCGCGCGCCGATCGCGCGGGGGCTCGCGTTGCGCAGCCAAGGGGCGCGAGCGAGCCTCCTGAAAAAGCGCCGCGCGCGCGTGGCCGGGCGCGTTTCGCATTGCGTCCAGCTGCCAGAAGCAAGCCCCGCCAACGCGCCAGTCCAGCACTTTCGGCGGCGACTGTTTGAATGATGATGACGACGATGATTACGACGAGCCTGGTTATGATGATGGCGACGAGGACGACGATGGCGATGATGATGTGGAGGAGGCGAAAGAAGGAAGGCTGTCACATGTGACGCTTGTCCAATCCATGTCTCGAAGAGCTTTCATGGAGCTCGCTTGGGCCGCATCAGGGCAGCATTGGGCTCCCGTGGGGCAGTCTTGCGGGCTCCATTGCAGATTTCTTGGGTCGTTTTGGGCCCCTGTTGAGCCATCTTGGGTCTCTTTTGCGGCCTTCGTGGGGGCGTCTCCGGGGCGCTTGGGCTTATCGGGGGTCGAGGCGCCCCCCCGGGCCGTCTTGGATCCCCAGGGCGGTCCGCGCAGGCTTTCTCGGGGCTCCGTCGGGGCCGCCCCGAAGTTGCTTGGCTCGTTCTGGGGGCTTCTTGGGCCGTCGCAGGGCAATGTTGGAGGCTTCCTTGGCCGCCTCGAGCTGACGGAAGTCCAAAACGATTATCACCCCAAATCAATGAAGCACCATCTCAAAATCAGCGGGCGTCATCCCCTGGGTTTTCCGGGGGTCCTTTTTGGAGCCCTTTCGAGCCGCCCTGGGACGCAATGGGGGCTTGCTTAAACCGTCGGGATTCCGTCTTGGGCCCCCATGGGACCATCTTGGTTTGTTTTGCAACCATGTTTGCCTGTCTTGAAACGGAGAGCTTCAGGGAGATAACGCGTTCGCCCAGGGTCACTCGGGAAGAGCGGCGGCGCACGGGAAAGCGCGCGGCGGGACGGGCGGGCCCCGTGGACGAATAGAGAAACCTCGCCAGAAGACAGGCGGCAATCGAACGCTTTCGCGGCGGCTGGCGCGCACTAGCGCGATGGAGGCGGCCTCTGCGCCGCCGCGCGCGCGACGGCGCAATGGGCGCTCGCGCCGGATTTTCCGCGCGCGCGGCAAACGCAACGCGAACGGTTTTCCGTCTGACGCGCCTTTGAGGCTGCCGGCGTTCTGCTGCGCGCCATGGCCGAGTCGCGCCCGCCACCTGCTTTCGCGGTTGCGTGGTCTATCCGGGGCGGTCAACCCGCGGTTGCACGGCGAGTCCAGGTCGGTCAGCGCGCGGTTGGGCGGGCAGTGCGGGCGGACAAGCCGGGCAGTCAACGCACGGCCGAGCGGTTGAATTCTCGGGCGCGGGCCCCCGCGTGCCGCGGGCTCTTGGGCGCGCCCGCCGACGCAAGCCTCGAGCGCACGGGCGCGCCTTCCCGCGCTCGCGGCAGGCGCCCGAACGTCTTCATTCAGAGCTTCCCAAACCAATGACCTTCGCTTGACCCGGACTTTCTTGGGCCACTTTAGTTTCGGGCGACGCAAAATCGCCCAAGCGTTCGAGGCTCGAAGCTTTTGGCAACATGGGTTTCAGCATTTACGAAAAGTTTCGGCATCAGCTTGGGGTTCCAGTAGCATGAATAAGTTTCGGCATCAGTGGAGCAGGACGAGAATGAGGACGAGGATGAGGAGAAGGGCGAGCAGAATGGCCAGAGGCCTATTGGATGCCTCTCGGAGTCTCTTCGGATGTCTCTTGGGAGTGTCCTGAAGGCCTTTTAGGGACTTGGGAGCGTCTTGGCGGTCCCGGAGGCCTCTTGGGGCGTCTTGGGTGCCTCGGGGAGCCTTTGGGGACCTCTTGGGGCCATCTTGGCGCCTCTTGGGGCCTCCTGGGCGCCTCTTGGGGCCATCTTGAGGCGCTCTTGGAACGCTCTTGGGCGCTCTTGGGGCCGTCTTGAGGCTGTCTTGGGCCCCTCTTGGGGCTATCTTGGGCCCTCTTGGAGCCATCTTGAGGCCTCGGAAGGCCATCGGAAGCGAAAAGGCGAGAAAACAAAAAACATTGATTTTCCATAGGTTTTTGAAGGATGTTGGCCTCTTGGAGGCCACCTGGGAAAGCTAGTTGGCCTCTTGGAGCCGTGTTGGCGCTGTCTTCTGGCCTATTGGAGCATCTTCGGAGCCATCTTGAGGCAACTGAGGCTAGCTTGAGCAATCTTGGAGCTCATCTTGGGCTCTCCGAGGCGCTCTTGGAGCCATTTTGGGCCATCTTGGACGCTCCAACTACCAGCGAAACGTCCCGTCCAGGCCCAGGGGAGGGGTAGGGGAAGGGGAAGAAAAAGGAGTGAAAAACGAAATTCCCTAAACCACCTACGCCCTGAGGCTGGTGGGACTCTCCGATCGCCGACGCGCATATGCCGGCACGGCGTGGAAGAGCAATTGCTTTTGTCCAGTGCTTCTTTCCTTGTTGTCCTCGTCGTTTTCTTGCCCTCTCCCTCTTCCCTTTCCTCCTCGCCGTCCTCAACTTGTTCCCATCCCAGAAAATCAAAACCCAGAACCACATTAGCATTTCGTGTTTTACGCGTTACGGCACGTTGCCTGCCCAGGGGGAAGATTGGCCGCAGTAGCGTAATTAGTGCGACGGCTTTTGTCGAAGAAGTAAACAACAAAACCGCATCGCCAAAAACACGCGTGCGGTAATGTTTCTTTTTTTTTGCATTTGACAGATTGGCTAATGTTTATGTCGTTGTCCTTTCGACCGAGAGGTATTTCGTATTTTAGTAATTTGCATGTTTTTCCATACTTGCATCATTCATATATATATATATATATATATACATATATGTATATGATTGTTTTGTTACACTTATTGTTGGACCGAATACTGCATCATGATTCCGCTATATTGAATCATAATGTATTCGACAAATCAGAAACAATATTAAATCAAAGTTTAAACGTAACGGATGCTTGGGTATGGGTGACGCAAACGCACTATATCACAAAAAAATATGATACCTGTTCCGCAAGACAGCCCATATATTTGCATTCTCCGCGACGGGAAATTTAACGGAGGCCTGAATATCTTGATTTCGGGTCGTCGTGTGCAGATCTTCGACCGGATCTTCAACAAAATACCCATACCACGGATCGCGCCTTCACGGAAATCTTGTGGACCCATTAGTTACAAACGGCTATACACGACCCCCTTGGCATCGATGATATTTGTACTTGTCCTCGTCTGCACGGGGAGACCAACCTTCGCCAACATGAGGTATTCCCAGATTTGTTTCGTTTTTCCGCGGGGCAAAAACGCACGTTTTATATTATTTTACCTAACAGCGAAGACTGATAGGTTTCTAGTTGACTCAAAAGAGCTCACAGATCACTCCACAGGGGGGTCCTGGCAGGTGTTGGGAGTTGCCGGGCGGCAGGTGCCGGGCTCGTTTTTCGCCAACAGTCACACACTTCGTGCTCTTCGATTTCCCAGAACTCCATTCCCAGGCCACATTCTGGAGGGCCGAATGCAACAGTCACACACTTCGTGCTCTTCAGAGTTCCCAGAACTCCATTCCCGGGCCACATTCTGGAGGGCCGGATGCAACAGTCACACACTTCGTGCTCTTCGAGTTCCCAGAACTCCATTCCCGGGCCACATTTTGAGGGCCGGATGCAACAGTCACACACTTCGTGCTCTTCTCCCAGAATTCCATTCCCGGGCCACATTTTTTTTTCGTGCTCTTCGAGTTCCCAGAACTCCATTCCCGGGCAGATTTTGATGCCCGGAGCCACTGTAGGCCATTCCCGGGCCAGATTTTGGATGCCCGGAGCCAACTGTAGGCCACTTCGTGGTCTTCGAGTTCCCAGAACTCCATTCTGGGCATGAATTTGAATGCCCGGAGCCAACTGTAGGCCACTTCGTGTTCTTCGAGTTCCCAGAACTACATTCCCGGGCCACATTTTGAAGTTGAATGTGAGGCAGGCTGAGGCTGAGGCTGAGGCAGGCTGATGCTGAGGCAGGCTGAGGCTGAGGCTGAGGCTGATGCAGGCTGAGGCTGAGGCAGCCTGAGGCTGACGCCGAGGCTGAAGGCAGACTGAGGCTGAGGCTGAAGCAGGCTGAGGCTGAGGCTGAGGCAGGCTGAGGCTGAGGCAGGCTGAGGCTGAGGCTGAGGCAGGCTGAGGCTGAGGCTGTGACTGTGACTGCCGTTGCCACTGCGACTGTCATCGCGAATGCGACTACGACTGCGAGAACAGCAGAATTCTACAACTGGATTCTCATCTGAATCTTAAGGGGAATGCTTCCAGATATGCTCCTACACATCGCTGTTAGGTTGCTTTGCCGGGATAATTTATATATATATATATATATATATATATATATATATATGTATGTATATATATATTCCGCATATTATATATATAATAGTAGAATAAAAAATGACTACACCCGCCCCAAAGAAATATATTAGAAATACATCAGAACAAAAACAAATTGGACAAATTTCCAGAAATGAATTTACTTGGCGTTGAACCACCATGGTTGGCTCCAGCTTGTATTCCGCTTATATTTACATTGTTGCACCTTTCCCTCCCGCATTCTGTCTGCATTATAATCTTAAGTTTTTTTGTTGCGACGCCGTCTTAGGCAAAATAGGCAAGAATGAGGCTCGCGTGCAGACCCCTGAATGAGATGGACGACGATGCACCAATAGCACGTCTTCAAGAACTACCTCTTTTTACTTAACAGCGAAGACTGATAGGTTTCTAGTTGACTCAAAAGAGCTCACAGATCACTCCACAGGGGGCTCCGGGCAGGCGTTGGGAGTTGCCGGGCGGCAGGGGGCCCCGCTCGCTTTTCAATAACAATCACACACTTCGTGCTCTTCGAGATCCCAGAACGCCATTCCCGGGCCACATTCTGGAGGGCCGGATGCAACAGTCACACACTTCGTGCTCTTCGAGTTCCCAGAACTCCATTCCCGGGCCACATTCTGGAGGGCCGGATGCAACAGTCAACACTTCGTGCTCTTCGAGTTGCCCAGAACTCCATTCCCGGGCCACATTCTGGAGGGCCGGAGCAACAGTACCACTTCGTGCTCTTCGAGTTCCCAGAACTCCATTCCCGGGCCACATTTTGGATGCCCGGAGCCAACTGTAGGCCACTTCGTGCTCTTCGAGTTCCCAGAACTCCATTCCCGGGCCACATTTTGAATGCCCGGAGCCAACTGTAGGCCACTTCGTGCTCTTCGAGTTCCCAGAACTCCATTCCCGGGCCACATTTTGAATGCCCGGAGCCAACTGTAGGCCACTTCGTGCTCTTCGAGTTCCCAGAACTCCATTCCCGGGCCACATTTTGATGCTGATGCAGAGGCTGAGAATGGTGATGCTGATGCTGAGGCTGAGGCTGAGGCAGGCAGGCTGAGGCTGATGAGGCTGAGGCAGGCTGAGGCTGAGGCCGAGGCTGAAGGCAGGCTGAGGCAGACGCTGAGGCAGGCTGAGGCTGAGGCAGGCTGAGGCTGAGGCTGAGGCTGAGGCAGGCTGATGCTGAGGCAGGCTGAGGCTGAGGCTGAGGCTGAAGGCAGACTGAGGCTGAGGCAGGCTGAGGCAGACGCTGAGGCAGGCTGATGCTGAGGCAGGCTGAGGCTGAGGCTGAGGCTGAGGCGGATGCAGGCTGATGCTGAGGCAGGCTGAGGCACAGAGGCTGAGGCTGAAGGCAGACTGAGGCTGAGGCTGAAGCAGGCTGAGGCTGAGGCTGAGGCTGAGGCAGGCTGAGGCTGAGGCTGAGGCAGGCTGAGGCTGAGGCTGTGACTGCGACTGCCGCTGCCACTGCGACTGTCATCGCGAATGCGACTGCGACTGCGAGAACAGCAGAACTCTACAACTGGATTCTCATCTGAATCTTAAGGGGAATGCTTCCATATATGCTTCTACACATCGCTGTTAGGTTGCTTTGCCGGGATAATATTACCTAACAGCGAAGACTGATAGGTTTCTAGTTGACTCAAAAGAGCTCACAGATCACTCCACAGGGGGGTCCGGGCAGGTGTTGGGAGTTGCCGGGCGGCAGGTGCCGGGCTCGTTTTTCGCCAACAGTCACACACTTCGTGCTCTTCGATTTCCCAGATTTCCATTCCCAGGCCACATTCTGGAGGGCCGAATGCAACAGTCACACACTTCGTGCTCTTCGAGTTCCCAGAACTCCATTCCCGGGCCACATTCTGGAGGGCTGGATGCAACAGTCACACACTTCGTGCTCTTCGAGTTCCCAGAACTCCATTCCCGGGCCACATTTTGAATGCCCGGAGCCAACTGTACACACTTCGTGCTCTTCGAGTTCCCAGAACTCCATTCCCGGGCCACATTCTGGAGGGCCGGATGCCAACAGTACCACTTCGTGCTCTTCGAGTTCCCAGAACTCCATTCCCGGGCCACATTTTGGATGCCCGGAGCCAACTGTAGGCCACTTCGTGCTCTTCGAGTTCCCAGAACTCCATTCCCGGGCCACATTTTGAATGCCCGGAGCCAACTGTAGGCCACTTCGTGCTCTTCGAGTTCCCAGAACTCCATTCCCGGGCCAATTTTGAATTTTGCTGCCTGAGGGCTGAGGCAGGCTGAGGCTGAGGCAGGCTGAGGCTGAGGCCGAGGCTGCAGATGCAGGCTGAGGCTGAGCAGGCTGAGGCTGCAGGCTGAGGCTGAGGCTGAGGCTGAGGCTGAGGCTGCAGGCTGAGGCTGAGGCAGGCTGAGGCTGAGGCGAGGCTGAAGGCAGACTGAGGCTGAGGCTGAAGCAGGCTGAGGCTGAGGCTGAGGCAGGCTGAGGCTGAGGCTGAGGCAGGGCTGAGGAGGCTGAGGCTGTGACTGCGACTGCCGTTGCCGCTGCGACTGTCATCGCGAATGCGACTACGATTGCAAGAACAGCAGAACTCTACAGCTGGATTCTCACCTGAATCTTAAGGGGAATGCTTTCAGATATGCTTCTACACATCGCTGTTAGGTTGCTTTGCCGGGATAATCCTTCGAGATTTCGTGATGGAAGGTGCTGGTTGGTGTGTTGTCCAAGTCGACCGCCATGGCGGCTGGGCCCTTGCCTCGCCCAGTCCAGCAGTCGGGGTGTGTATGCTCTACGTATGCTCATCAAGTATGTAGGAGTCGCGCCCGTCCATATTGTTTGCGGTTGTAAGATGGTAGTTGGTATCTGGCAGGCTGGCCCACAGCAGTCGAAGGATAAGGTTGCGCATGTCGAACAGTGGCGCGATATTTCCGCACGTTTGATGCTATTGCCGCTCTCCGCGTTGGAGAGAATTCGGGGCCGCCAGTCCTGGGCCAAAGCTGCGCCCGAGGGCTGTGCATGATGGGCCTGGCGAGGCAACCGAGAGGCCGATCGTTTGACCAAGCCAGGAGCTAAAATGCATCCTGTCCCTCCGACTCTTGTGCAGGAAATGAAGGCTCAGGGATTCTTTGTTCGAGGCCGTGCCGTCCTGGTCGCGGGGCGCGCGGGTGCTTGATCCAGGCTGAATTCCGGGGACGCCGACCACTTCCGAGCCAAGCGGCTCACAGCTACCGAGGTTTTGGAGTTCGCGTCTGGGCCCAATGGGCATGCGATTTTGCGAGGGGGTAAGAGATCTGCTTGCGTGCGTGGTGGAATTCGTGATTGGTGGGCAGGCGATATCGTTGCCTTGGAATGGTGCAGGAGGCCGAGTGTGGTGCAGTGTATGTGGGATACTCGGCACTAAGAAGGTGGTCCTGCTTGCCAAACTTGCAATTGCGGGCCCAGAAACCAAGCTGCCAGCCATTCCCTGAGTCTCCTGTAAAACGGGGCAGACTTTTCTTCGGGAGTGGAGTTCGGCAGGTCTTTCCCGTTCCAGCCGGAGTGATCCCTCTTGTGCGTGCCGTGCGTACGTTTTATTCCTTGTTTGCAAGGTGTTGCATCAACGGACGTGGCGCGCCAAAAACCTAGAGGACCCAAACGATGAGGAGGATATTTAAGATAGAAACAGGAGGATGAGAATGAGGAGGAGGAAGAGGATAATGCGGAGGAGGAGGAGGAGGAATCATACTAATACTACGAATAATAAGAGGAGGAGGATGAGGATGAGGATGAGGATGAGGATGAGGATGAGGAGGAGGAGGAGGAGGAGGAGGAGGAGGAGGAGGAGGAGGAGGACGAGATGAGATAAGGAGAACGATGCGGAGGCCTAGGTGTTCGCAGGGACCACCAGGGATATCTCGTGGCTCACCCGCCCCAGGACGTTCTGGCGCAACCTCGCGATGTCAGTGCGCGTGGCCTTTTGGTGCGCGCTGTTCGGGTTCCCCATCTATTCCCAGGCGAACTACGAGCTATTCTACGGGTCGCAGCTATGCTCGCCGTCGCAACTGGGGCGCTGGGTGGTGGGTCCGAACGGCACGGGCATCGTCCCGCATGAAGGCTCCGCGTCCACGCCGTGGCGCCCGGAGAAGGATGTTTGGTGCGGTTATTTACCAGGGATGTATGCTTCGTATTGGCCAAACGTTATCCAGATGATCATTTATACCGTGTATCCGGCTGCCTGCGGCAGTCCCCGCCGCCGAGCTTGTGCATTAATGCAGCAGGAGGGAGACATTGTAGGAACAGCGCAATCTCGACGACTGCTCTCAGCTGGGATGGGTTGTGAACTCGACCTCGCCTCGTCTTGGGGGCCTCACTGAGCCGTCTTGGTGGCTTCTTGAAGCGCTTGAGGGTCGTCTTGGAGCAGTCTTGGGAGGCTCTTGGGCAATGTTGGGGTCCATTCGGGCCGACTTGGAGCTCTTTGAGAGCCTCATGGGCTGTCTTGGAGCTATCTTGGAGGCCTTCTGGGCAGCCTCAGCCGGTCGGAAACTCAAAAGAGGTGAGAACCTGCAAATCCTTCAAACACTTATTAATGTTTTTCGCCTTCTCGGATGCCCTTGGGGCCTCGTGGGGGGCCCCTTGGGGCATCTTAGGGGGTTCTTGGCCCGTCTAACGTCTTAGGAGGCCGTCTTGGGGGCCTCTTTGGACCGTCTTGGTGCTCTCTTGGAGCGCTTGAGGGCCGTCTTGGGGTCTTGTTGAGAGGCTCTCTGGCCGACTTGCGGCCCTCTTGGTGGCCTCTTGGGCTGTCTGGGGGCTATTTTGGAGGCCTCTTGGGTCATCTTGGACGGTCGCAAGCCCTACCAAGCGAGACCCTCAAAATCATTGACAAGCCTGAGGGGAATCAGTCGTTTTGGCTTCCTCGAGCTCTCCTGGAGGGCCTCTCGGAACCCTCTTCGGCCGTCTGCGAAGCCTCTCGAGCCGTCTTGAGGCCGTCTTGGAAGCTTCCTGAGCTAATTTGAGCCATCTTGAGCCATCTTGGTGTTCTCTTGGCTGTCTTGGAGGACATTTTGGAGGCAATCCTGGCGCCTGAAGGCCGACATTGGCTCTGGAGAGCAAATCCAGAAAACGCAGATTTTCTTTTAACGCGTGCTATCAGGGATGGTCGGCCCTAGAAAGCTTCAGGGCAACCGAGAACCATTCTGAAACGCCCACTCCGTGCAGGCACGGAGGCGGATAAGACCTCCGGAAATACTATCATGTTCGCTTGGCAGGGTGTTGGTGGCACATGGCTTGCCGTTGTGAACATCTACATTCTCATGGGTGTGTGGCCGCGAGGAGCTATGGATGCAGGTTATATTCCGTGGGTTGCTTGGCTGGACTGCTTGGGCCTGACATTCCTTTTCCTCATCTCCAAGATGAGCACGAATGCCATCAAGTTCGGATTGTCGTGGCACCTCTTCTTCATGATGGGCTACATGAACCCAAACACGGGGCCGCACATCGGCGAGCTGCACACTGGTATTCCAGGCGTGCAGTGGGATTCTGAGCCCACCGCCGTGCTCTTCACCACCTACACCGGGTCGCTCCTGGCAGTGCTGGCCACTTTGTTCCCCTGGCCCATGCTCAATATCACTAGGGTTGATGAAGATACAAAGACGGTGGTCAGTTCTCTGGACAACATTTGGGAAGACGCAATCTCGTACTTCTGCGGCGGGAGGCATGCTGCAAAGCGCTTGCAGATTGCATCGAAGATCGCAAATCTGACGAACAACATCAGTACAGTCAGTGGAGATTTGGAGGCGTCCTGGTGGGAGACGCTAGACCTTTGTGGGTTCAAGCACAAACGTGCGTTGTACGCAGAGCTTGACGCCGAGCTCGACCAGCTACATCAAGTGCTCTACGCAATGAAGGCCTGCATTCTCGAGGCTGGGTTCGGAAAAACTCACGAGGCCTTCATGGACAAGAGCATGCGCAGGGCTGCTGAGAACCTCAAGCTTGCAACGATGCGTCTCCTGTACCATTGCGCCGAATCCTGTAGGGACGGAAAGGTTCGGCGGCGAGCGAGGGGTGAAGTGAGAAGGGGCGGGCCTTCTCAGAAGGATCGGAAGTCCCCAAGCCTTCTGAGAAACTTTCTACGCCTTCCCCGAAGACACAACCAACCCTTCAGAAGGCGCGAGGGTTTCTAAGAAGTCACGCCGCCTCCTGAGCAGGCCTTCTCCTTCTCCTGTCCCCCCCCTCGCTCGCCGCCTAAAGGTGGACGAGAACGAGCTCAAACAGATAGTCCAGTGTGTGGGGGAGATCAAGCACTGCCAGATGCTGATGCTGCTTGAGTACGATCACAAGCTGTCTGCAGCATATGGGCAAGAGCTGAACTCCTCCAACCCCTTGTCTGACGAACCCTTCTGTAACTGCACCATCTTCGTCTACTCCCTTTCGGTCTTCGCCTGGCGGGTGAGCGCCTTCGCGGAGGGTCACCTGGAAAAGGATGGCTCCCGCAAGCGCGGCAGCGTAGTCAGAAACATGTTTGGGTGGTTGCACGAGTCTTCGGGTGAAGCCGATGCGGAGCACAGGAATTTCGCGATCAGAAACACGATGTCAGTCACACTCTGCTTCGTAATGGGATTCTATCTACGTGGCTCAGTGTTCCAGACTGGCTACAACGCCACCATGGCAACCACACTGGCGCTACTGATAAGCCGCTATGCTGGTACGACTTTCGAAAGGAACACCAAGCGACTAATTGGCGTGGCACTCGGCAAGGTGCTCCCCATCTTGATTATGGGATTGGTCAACCGGCTCGAGTGTAATTCAACATTGCAGATATTGGCGCACGTGCTGGCAATTTGTCTTTATCGAAGACGCCTACGGCGAATCACCGCCGCCCCCTGCTTTCTAGAATCGCCCATGTGGCCGAGCGTTGTGGCAAGAGTTCCGCCAAGCTATCGGACCATTTGTTCCCCCAATCGTTGTGGGAACCCTTCGGGGAACACTTTGGGGAGGATGGCGGGGACGATCAGGAGGAGGCGGAGGAGGTGGAGGAGGAGGAGGAGGAGGAGGAGGAGAAGGAGGAGGAGGATGAGGAGGAGGACGGGGCATCTTGGGAGCCTCTGGGGACACTCTTGGTGCCTCCAAAGAGTTTCCTGGGAGCCTCTTGTATGCATCTTGGGGGCCTCCTTGGGCCTTTTGGGGGCCTTTGGGGGCTTCTCGGGGGCCTCTTTGGCTGTTTTGGTGGGCTCCTGGCCCGTCTGACGCCGTCGGAAGCAGTCTTGGGGGCATCTCTGGGCCGACTTGGGGCCCTCTTGGGGCGCTCCAGGGCTTCTTGGAGGCCATCTTGGGCGTCTTGGAGGTCTCTTGGGCCGGCTTGGGGCCCTTTTGGGGCCGTCTTGGGGGCCTCTTGGGTCGTCCTGGGGCCATCCTGGAGGCCTCTTGGGCGCTCTGTGGGCGATCGCCTCTTGGGCCGTCTCCGGCCGCCTGTAGGTCGAAAAGAAGCAAATGCCAACATCTTTCAACACATAAGGGGAGTCAATGATTTTGGCCTCTTCGGACCTTCCTGGAGGCCCTCTTGGAGGCCTCTTGGGCCGTCTTGGGCCATCTTAGGGCCATCTTGGGCCGTCTTGGTGGGCTCCTGGCCCGTCTGACGCCGCCGGAAGCCGTTTTGGGGCCCTCATGGAATGCTCCAGGGCCGTCTTAGATGCTTCCTTGAGCGTCTCAGAGGCCTCTGGGGCCGGCTTTGGGCCCTCTTGGGGCCGTCTTGGGGGCCTCTTGGGCCTTTCTGGGGCCATCTTGGAGGCCTGTTGGGCGATCTTGGGGGGGCGATCTTTGGGGGCTCTTGGGTCGTCTCGGGCCGTCGGAAGGCCGAAAAGAAGCAAGTGCAACAATCAGGCGGGAAAAAAACACACAGACACAATGAATCGTCGACTCCCAGGAAAATATGGGAAAATATGGGAGGTAGGTGGGGGGGGAGACAAAAACCCAGAAAAGATAGGAAAATATGGGGAATCTTTACCTAACAGCGAAGACTGATAGGTTTCTAGTTGACTCAGAAGAGCTCACAGATCACTCCACAGGGGGGTCCGGGCAGGTGTTGGGAGTTGCCGGGCGGCAGGTGCCGGGCTCGTTTTTCGCCAACAGTCACACACTTCGTGCTCTTCGATTTCCCAGAACTCCATTCCCAGGCCACATTCTGGAGGGCCGAATGCAACAGTCACACACTTCGTGCTCTTCGAGTTCCCAGAACTCCATTCCCGGGCCACATTCTGGAGGGCCGGATGCAACAGTCACACACTTCGTGCTCTTCGAGTTCCCAGAACTCCATTCCCGGGCCACATTCTGGAGGGCCGGATGCAACAGTCACACACTTAGTGCTCTTCGAGTTCCCAGAATTCCATTCCCGGGCCACATTTTGGATGCCAGGAGCCAACTGTAGGCCACTTCCTGGTCTTCGAGTTCCCAGAACTCCATTCCCGGGCCACATTTTGAATAGCCCGAGCCAATTGTAGGCCACTTCGTGGTCTTCGAGTTCCCAGAATTCCATTCCTGGGCATGATTTTGAATGCCCGGAGCCAACTGTAGGCCACTTCGTGTTCTTCGAGTTCCCAGAATTCCATTCCCGGGCCACATTTTGAATGCTGAGGCAGGCTGAGGCTGGCTGAGGCAGGCTGAGGCTGAGGCAGGCTGAGGCTGAGGCCGAGGCTGAAGGCAGACTGAGGCTGAGGCTGAAGCAGGCTGAGGCTGAGGCTGAGGCAGGCTGAGGCTGAGGCTGAGGCAGGCTGAGGCTGAGGCTGAGGCTGAGGCTGCAGGCTGAGGCTGAGGCCTGAGGCAGGCTGAGGCTGAGGCTGAGGCTGATGCAGGCTGAGGCTGAGGCAGGCTGAGGCTGAGGCCGAGGCTGAAGGCAGACTGAGGCTGAGGCTGAAGCAGGCTGAGGCTGAGGCAGGCTGAGGCTGAGGCTGAGGCAGGCTGATGCTGAGGCAGGCTGAGGCTGAGGCTGAGGCTGATGCAGGCTGAGGCTGAGGCAGGCTGAGGCTGAGGCCGAGGCTGAAGGCAGACTGAGGCTGAGGCTGAAGCAGGCTGAGGCTGAGGCTGAGGCAGGCTGAGGCTGAGGCAGGCTGAGGCCGAGGCCGAGGCTGCAGGCAGACTGAGGCTGAGGCTGAAGCAGGCTGAGCTGGGGCTGAGGCAGGCTGAGGCTGAGGCTGAGGCTGAGGCAGGCTGATGCTGAGGCAGGCTGAGGCTGAGGCTGAGGCTGATGCAGGCTGAGGCTGAGGCAGGCTGAGGCTGAGGCCGAGGCCGAGGCAGGCTGCTGAGGCTGAAGCAGGCTGAGGCTGAGGCCGAGGCGGCTGAGGCTGAGGCTGAGGCAGGCTGATGCTGAGGCAGGCTGAGGCTGAGGCTGAGGCTGAGCAGGCCGAGGCTGAGGCGAGGCCGAGGCAGGCTGAGGCTGAGGCTGCAGGCAGGCTGAGGCTGAGGCAGCTGAGAGGCAGGCTGAGGCTGAGGCTGAGGCTGAGGCAGGCTGAGGCTGAGGCTGTGACTGCGACTGCCGTTGCCGCTGCGACTGTCATCGCGAATGCGACTACGACTGCGAGAACAGCAGAATTCTACAACTGGGTTCTCATCCGAATCTTACGGGGAATGCTTCCAGATATGCTCCTACACATCGCTGTTAGGTTGCTTTGCCGGGATAATTTTATTTGTGTGTATTTATTTGTGTGTCCTGGGGCCCCTTCAAACAATCATTCAAAATCCCAAGGAACATCAATGATTCTAGTCTCTTCGGGCCTCCTGGCCCGTCCGACGCCGTCGGACCCTGTCTTGGGGGCCTCTGTGGACCGACCTGGGGCCCTCTCCGGGTGCTCCAGGGCCATCTTGGAGGCCATCTCGGGCGCCTTGGAGGCCTTCTGGGCCGGCTTGGGGCCCTCTTGGGGCCGTCTTGGGGGCCTCTTGGGTCGTCCTGGGGCCATCCTGGAGGCCTCTTGGGCGCTCCGTGGGCGATCTTTGGGGCCTCTTGGGCCGTCTTGGGCAGTCGGAAGGCCGAAAACGAGCAAATGCCCAAATCCTTCAAAAGCTTACTCGGGACGAAATCCCGCGGACGAAAAAAGTCCGCCGCGCGCGCCCATATCGTTTAATGATTTTAGCCTCGTCGGGCCCTCCTGAAGAAGAACCTCCTGGACGCCTCTTGGGCCGTCTTGGAGGCCTCTCGGGGGGCCTCTGGGGCCGTCTTCGACCGTGTTGGAGGCTCCGTGGCTGAACTTGGAGGCATCTTGGACTCTCTTTGGCAGTCTTGGAGGTTACCTTGGACCACCTTGAGCAAAACCTTGAGGGCCATCGTAGCCGTCTTGGAGGCCGTCTTGGGCCATCTTGGAGCCGTTTGGATCAGGAAAACCTGTGCAACCGGGTCTTATGCACCCTTTCGGGTGGCCAGCGGGCTGGACCGAGCCCCAGGACAGTTTTTTTTTTTTTTTGGAAAAAGAGCCAGAACCGAAAGGGTCCAGTACGCCAGGCACCCTTGTGACAAGCACAGGGGGCGGCGGATCTAATGGCCTGCGGTCCATCCCGCCACCGTGCCTGGGTTATGGGTATGAGCGCCTATTGGGTGTTCGTTGGGATCTCGCGGGTCATTCTTGAGGCCTCTTGGGGGCCAGTTTGAGGCCTCCTTTGGGTCTCAATTGGGCCTCTAGGGGGTCTCTTGGGGCCTGTCGGGGGCCTCTTGGGGCCTACCTGGGCCTCTCGGGCGCCTCTTGGGGCCTTCCGGGGGCCTCTTGGGGCGGAAGTCTGGGACTGTCGGTTGGGCCGTCTTGGGGTGCTGCTAGGCCGTCTTTGAGCCCTCTGGGAGGCCTCTTGGGCCGTCTTGGGGTCGTCTTGGGGGCCTCTTGGGCCGTCTTCGAGCGTCGGAAAGCCGAAAAGGCGAGAACGCCCAAATCCTGCAAAAACCAAAAGGGACACCACTGACTGTGCCTGTTGGGGCCCTCTTGGGAGGCTTTTTTGAGGCTCCTTGTGGCGTCTTGGAGGCCTCTTGGGCCATCTTGAGGCCATCTTGGGCGTTTTGGAGCGATCGTTCGGCGACTCGGAGCCCTCTTGGACTCGTGGGAGGGTCCAGGAGGTCGCTTTGGGGGGGCACATCGTCCACAGGAGGCGCAGGGCACATCCCAGAACTCATGGGAGCCCGTGGGGGGCACCCCGGGAAGGCCTGGAACACGATTGGTCGGCCTTTTTAAAGACTTACAGCTCTCGCTGCAGAAGCAGCACGGCGTCTACCTCTCAGTGCTGCATGCGCCTTGGGGCGCTCCACTTCGTGCCAGAGGCACGGTGGCGGATCTTATTACGTTCGAGTATATGTATTTCACATCATATCAATGGGACTATGTAGGCTTGTGCGCTGCGGCGTTCGGTTGCACATTCTTCTTCACTACTTGTATTCAGGGTGGCGACGCCGACGGCCAGATCAAATCAAACTATGTGGAGATTGGCCAGGTGATTCTTGCCATCGGGGTGCAGATTACAATTGACACTCTCATGAAATCCAAAGACACTCGCCAGATCGCAACCGTTTACACTCATGACCTCGGCCAGGCTCTCCAACGCGGTTTCCGAGAGTACTTCTCCGGGTGCGACCTCAGCCTATCAAAGTATTATTCGAGACGCTTCGCGCTTACCGCCGCTCGCCCGCCCGTATGTATGTATGCATGTATGTATGTATGAATGAATGAATGAATGTCTATATACATTTACGTGTGTGCATATGTATGTGTGCATGCATGCGTACATGCATGAACCTACGTATGTATCTATGTATGTTTTGTGTATGTATGTAGGTATTTAAGTAGGTGTACCGGTAGGTCGGTAGACAGACATGTATGCCTGTATGAATTCGTGTTTGTATGTATGTATTTATACCGGACGGTCGTATGGCTGTATGTATGCATGTATGCATGCAACTACACATGCACGTATGCATGCATGCATGTATGCATGTATGTATGTATGAATGTATACCTGCATGCATGTATGCATGCATGTATGTTTCGGTAGGTATGTCTGTATGTATGCGTGCACTAACGTATGTATGTATATATGTATGTATGTATGTATGTATGCATGTATGTATGTATGTATGTATGTATGTATGTATGTATGCATCACCGTATGTAGGTATGCACGTATGCGTGTGTGTGTGTGTCTGTGCGTATGCATGTATGCATGTACGCGTGCATGCATGCATGCATGCAGGCAGGCAGGCAGGCATGTATGTATGTATGTATGTATGTATGTATGCATGCATGTATGTATGTATGTATGTATGTATGTATGTCTGTATGTATGTATGTATGTATGTATGTATGTATGTATGTTTGTAAATATATACACAAGTCTGCAGTGGCGCTTCGCGCCATGCACCTTGGTCCTTGAAGTTTGGTATGCAGGCGGAAATGGCAGGAAGGTCAAGTCGACAATTTAGCGATAACTCCTTGCTGCCTTTTCTGGCATCGCCGTTCTGATAATGTTGTTCGTTATCCTTCCTCCATGCTTATTTTTCTTCATTATCGCCATACCCTGGGCATTATCCCCATCTTTCTCAGCTCTTTTTGCGGAGGCTCCTCCTTGGAGAGCCTCTGGGGGCCTCACCAAACTTCTCAGGCTTTCTTAAAGCCCTCTTGAGGCCTCCTGGGTGCCTAAGGCCAACCTGCCTCTAACCGCGGTCTCCCTGAGCGCCCCAGTCACGATTTGGAATGCTTCGGAGGGTGTCTTGGGGTCATCTTGGGCCGCCATGGTGCTCTCTTTGGGCCATTTGGACCCCTGTTGTGCCGTTTTGGGGCTCTCTTGGACTGCCTGGAAGCCCTTTCGGATGGTTGTGGGGCGATTTTGGAGCCTCCCAGGCGGCTTCGGACGCCTAGGAGACCGCCGTCTTGGAGAGTCGGGAAGCCGAAAAGAGGAGAACCCCAAATGCACCAAAAACCTAAATAGAATCAATGCTTTTTCCCTCTTGGGGCCTTCTTGGGGGTGCTCTTGGAGGCCTCTTGGTACGTTTTGGAGCGATCTTTCGGGGTATGACGGCTTCTTGGAGCGCTTTTGTGCTGTCTTGGGGGTCTCTGGGACGTCTCCGGTGACCCCCTTGATCGCCCTGGGTATGCTGCGAAGGCTTGGCAAAACGCCCTGCGAGGCCCAGGGGGCCGCTTTGAGGCCGTCTGGAGGGTCCCAAAGCTCCAGATCCCGGGGGTCCGGTTTTAGGGGGGGGGGTGACGGGTTTTCCCCCCGCCCGGGCTTATAAAAATATAGGAAGAGGAATGTGTATGTATGTATGCATGCGTGCATGAACGTATGTGTGTAGGTAGATCAACCGGTATGCACGTATGCATATATGCATGCATATA